AGAAGAGCTAGGTTTAGGCCTACCATGACATTAGCTAGCTTAACTAAGCCACATATGGGATTAGCCTACCGACTATCCTCCAACTACTACAACCTTCCGATACTCAGTTAGGAACTAAGTTCCCGACTTCGTACTTTACTCGAATTGGCCGCTTGTAATCGGTATAGCTCGACCTGGCCCTTATACCGTGGTCGCTTTGTACACGTGTGCCTCGACCTTGCCCATACACGGGACCAACTAAGTACCAGAGGAGAACAACACAATGTCCACTCTAAGGGCAGCTTTCCAAGGAGGGTTTTCAACAAATTGGGTTCTCTGAGCACCACAGCTTCTCAATCCTCACAATGGGATGAAAAATTTCAAAAACATCTCCTCTAGTCCTAGTGATCAACAGCTCATCATCACAGCTTACGACACAACTCAACTTAACATCTTTAATAGCGTAAACAACATTCAACACAGCTCAACTTAACATCTTTAACAGCATAAACAACATATAACACATCTCAACTTAACAACTTTAAACAACACACAACTTTTCCAACTCATCATCTCAATATTCAACATTTTTCAACAATTTATCATATATAACAACAGGAATAATTTAAACACACAAAACAACTATCAACTTATCCAAATCACTCTTTGTGAAATGGCAACCTTCACATAAAATAGCGTATCAAGAGTTATACTACTCCTATCATGCTCATCCTTATCTCATACGAAAGATAATAAGATTTCCTACAACTCTTATGAAGACATCAAGTCCTAATTCCATCATGTACTTTGTTAAAAATTCTGAAAACCGCAACAGCTATAATCAATGCTGGCAGCTTGACTCCTTTTCAGTAAAATAACAATATCTGGAGTTCTAGAACTCCTTTTTGGGTGATTCCAACGCCATTGGAAAGCTGAGATCCAAGGCTACAACTTATATGAAGATCTTAAGACCAAATTCGGTCATCAAGACCCACCTATGCAGCGCTCAATTCAGCGTTTTAGCTGCAACTCTCTACCAGTTCAGTTTCCCTTCCACAGCCATGGCTGCAAATCCATGGCCATAGCTGCAACTTGCAAGTTTCTGTCACTCCAAATTTTTTCCACAACTATGGCTGAAATTCCACAACCATGGCTGCAAGTCTCTGCCACTCCTTTTTTTCTTTTCCCCATAACCATCACATTTTTCCCTCTCAAGGCTATGGTTGTGAATCCACGACTATAGTTGTTGGTTCTTAAAAGTTCATTTTTCCTCCACGGCTATAGCTGTGGATCCACGGCTATAGCTGTGGGTTTCTGAAACTCCTAAAACACCATGGATTTCACCTTCGTTTTCACTGAAATCCTCAATGAACCTGCAATCCAAGGAACCCTAGTCCATGCTACAACTCAAATGAAACACTACCAACCACATGCAACCCAAAAACATCAAGAATCACAACATGCATGCATCCAAAGCTCAAGAAAAATCATCAATGTTCAACCTTCCATCAAGAAACCAAAACCCCAATGTTCAACATGAGAATCACTTCGGATTCATCCCCCCATTTACAATTTTTCCAGAATCAAGCCTCTATTTACTCAACAACCTAACATGCAAAACAAAATCTCAAGTTTTCTAGCTTCCCTTACCTCGGAGAAGAAGAATCCGAGCTTTGGGGGAAGAAGAAGACAAGCTTTCACATGACTCCAGGTTATTTCCCAAACTTCAAGCTCTCCAGCACCAAAACCCAGTTTCTCTTCAGCTTAATCTTCAGAGAACAAGAAGAGAGGAGAAAAGGATTTAGCTTCAGCCTAGAAGATGAAATGAAGAGTAAAGAAGAATGGAGTCGGGGTTTACATCTACCCTTTTACGTTGCTTCGCTCCTCAAGGTTGGGGGGCTTGTGTACTGGAAGAGTCCTATCAACCACATGGAATGGCACGTGCCCCCCTATCGGCCACTGAGACGGCTGAAACATAAGCTGTTTATGCACTAGCCTCGGCCATCTCGATCGTCGATATGACCGGACCATAAAGATAGCTAGTTTGACATATCTCTCGGACACAGCAATGGCCGTGATAGTGAACCTACGAGACCATCAAAAGCTTGGCCAGAACAGCGTAACTTGCTGGCCTTCTTAACAACGTCTCGGCTCGGCAAGAGGCCGAAACCCGAAAATGCAACCTCGATCTTATACCTCTCGACTCAGCTAGTGGCCGATAAGACCAAACAACAATTAAGATGACAATTATGATTAACAAGGACAAACACGTGATTAAGACATAATCAGCCGATTAGCACCGTATTACCTAATTTGGTAAGTGTCAGAAGAGGCCCACCACGATCAGGGCTCATCACAAGTAGTATAAATAGGTCACGTAAAACGAGGTATGTCACTGTTCATTTATTACTATCGAGATTCGTGCTTGTCCTTACTTGAGCGTCGGAGTACCTTTTGCAAGTACCTCTCCCCTTTGAAGCATCTGCCTGAAACTCTCGTTCGGCCCTCAAATACTAAAAAATTACGAATGTGTCTTTAGACAGATACATTTATAATTTGTAATTTTGGATTTTTGGGAATCTTAGAGTCTCCTAATTGTCCTTAAACTTCCAATACAAATAGACATATTATTTTATCTCGTTATTAGACTCAAATTTTTCATATTTTTAGAAACATTCATTTCAAGTTTAAATATTATAAAAATTAAAACATGAAAGATTAAATATGTTTTAATCTTTGATATTTTTCTTCAAATAAAATAATAATAATTGATACAAATAAAATAACAATAATTGACACAAGCATCAAAATTTTAATGAAAGAAAACATTTAAAGATTAAAAGTAAAAATTACCAAAATAAAAATAAAAATTAGAGACTAAAATTAGTAAAATATTTATTTAAGAACTAAAAAAATTAATAAAAATTTAAAGACTAAAAATATATATAATTTAAATTTAAAATATCAATAGAAAAAAAAATATTTTAATTAAATAAAAATAATAACTAGTAATAACTAGAATAATGCAATTTTGGATGTCTATCCGCCTTCGACTCCCCTGTTACGTGAACTTTGCAAGGAAATCTTTGACACTCCTTTCATAGTGCGAGTTTTTAGTTTTTCATGTACTACTATTATTTTAGCATGATAACTAAATTTTATAATAAATTATATGTAGAAATAAATATTATATTTAAATATATAAATTATATTTAAAATTTATATAAATAAATATTTTAAATATATAAATTATATTTTAATTTAAAATAAACAACTTATATTACAACATAAATTTATCTAAATTATTAAAATTTATTTTAAAAATATTAAACCGGAACTCATAAATAAATAATAAATAAAAATGAATGAAATAAGAAATTAAAAGTTTTTTTTTGAAAATACTCTTATAAAAAAATAGTTTATGCAATATAATCTTTAAGGTTTAAGATAATTTTTTAGTTTATTTCTTTTTTATCATGTATTAATAGAAGTATTTTTATTTTATTTTATTAAAAACTAGTTTTTATCAAAATCTTGACTATATTAAGATTATCTTCTTTTTATCAAATCAAAGACATAAATTAGAGTTCTTGAAACTTAAAAATCTATACTATGATGAAGAGTATTATCTTATTTAGTGTTCACAACTTTTATATCTATTTTATCCTTAATAAATTTTAAAAATTTATCAAAATTTGTCATAAATATTAAAATAATAAAAAATATAATTAAAAATATCATTTTTTCTATTTTTTATAAAGAATAAAATGCCTTTTTCTTATTAGTCAACTATAACACTAATTAAATAAAAAAATATTGATATAATTATTTAAGTTTAATAAATAAGAGTTGATTATTTTTAAATATTTAATATTTTTTATTTTATTTTTCTAAATATCTTAATATTAATAAAAGTAATTATCAATTTCATTGAAAATTAATATCTTTTAAAACTTTGATCATATTAAAACTATTCTTGTCATCATTAATTTTTTTTTATCAAATTTAATATTCGGGAGTTGTAGTTGAATACAAATATTTTACCAATCCTATTAACTGAGTAAAGTTCTTTTTTTTTTTCCTCTATTCCATCATTAAAATTTCAAAAATATAAATGTGTTTCTTCTTAAAATATATATTAATTTTACTAGAGGAGTTGAGACACTTTGGGTTTAAAATAGTTAGACACAAATAAATATTAGAAGTTGTGGATAATTATTTAGAAATGATATAATTTTTCTTTAATCTAAGGGATATAATGGTCAAAAGTAAAAATAAAAAAGTAGTTATCAAAATATATCTCATTTATAGATACTAGTAGAAAAAAGGCATTTCGTGCCTGCATTGTATTAAAAAAAATGAAAAATTACTCATAAAAAAAAGTAATTATTAAAAAATAAATAAAAGATAAAATGATACATATAAAATAAAATAAAAATAAAAATTAAATAATAAAAATATATTAATCTAATTAGTATTATGATTAATCTATTAGTTTTAAGTTCTTAAATTTGATAAAAAAAAATAATTTTTTTAATTTTTTTAAAATAAAAAAGTATAATAGTCCAAAATTATGGAGACCAAGGTAGTTACTAAAAAAAGTATCCCCTTTATATATTAGTATAGATTAAAGGGGGCGAGACATTTCGTGTCTCTAATAATTACATACAATCAGTTATTTAGAAAGAATATAAGGAGCTTTTTTTTTTTAACATTTTAAAGAATATAATGATCTACTAAAAAGTGAACATTAAAAAAATAGTTACCGAAATATATCGCCTTTATAGTAGGTATAGATAAATTTTATTAATTTTCTTAAAGGTTTAAGAAATGATTAAAGAAAAAAAAAGAGATCCATTTTGGGAGTAAAGTAACCATAGAGGAGACACGTGTTGGCGTGTGAGCACCGTTTTGAGTCGCTTAAGATTGAAGAAAAGCAGCATAAAGCGACGCGTGTGAGAAAATATCAAAGGAAGTAGACGTGGCGTCCCAACCAAGGCAGCGCGTGAGTGAGCGCAGTTACAAACGCTTTAGTGCATCACACAAAGTTACAAAGCAAAAGAAGAGAGAAACCGAATGAGAGCGCCCTCTTCAACATCAACACTTTACTCCTTCCTCTTCCTCTTCCTTTTCCTAACCCTTCCATCATCCTCAGGGGACGACTGCTCCCAATACCACCACGCGCCCATGGCCACGCTCGGAGGCCTTCGCGACTCCCATCCCTCTCAGAACGCCTTAGAAACCGAACCCCTCGCGCGTTTCGCCGTCGATCAACATAACATGAAACAGGTTCCTAATCCACCTTTTTTCTTTTTTTTTTTTCATCAGTGCTGAACTTGTTGTTGTGATCGCAGTATTTGTTCTTCTTTGTCATGTCTTTTGTTCAGTATGATGAACAATGTTTTATTTGAACTAAGAGTGTTGACTTGTGCTGGTTGGTGTTGAAGAATTCGCTCCTAGAGTTTTCTAGGGTGGTGAGGGCACGGGAACAGGTTGTTGCAGGTACCCTGCATTACCTTACCCTTGAGGCTATTGAAGCTGGTGAGAAGAAGATTTATGAAGCCAAGGTGTGGGTGAAACCCTGGATGAACTTCAAAGAACTCCAAGAGTTCAAGCCTGCTGGTGATTCATCAGCATTTACCTCTGCTGATCTTGGTGTCAAAAAGGGTATGACAGTTTCTCAATCAACCATTTGTGGCCTTTGTATGACTAAGAATTTAAGATTCAAAATTGGGGTATTTATTATTTTTTTATCCTCCAAAATTGATACTGTAATACTAGCAGCAGGGAAAATGTCATTCTCTGGTTTCTGTATTATTTTTATGTGGGAAGTATGAAGTGGGTCTTTTCTTCCTACAATATTCACTAGTTGCACACATCATGCAAGGTTCAACAATATCATGTTTATATTGGTAATTGCTGGATAGCAATAAATGTTCAGTGCAGGTGAGTGATTATGTTAGGAACCAAGAATTAGGAAAGAGAAAGAAAGAAAGGTTTTATTGAGTACGTTGAAAAGAACACAAAATAGGAGAGAAATATCTCCTCCAAGGGTTTTCCCTTCACAAAGGATTTCTCCCTTTCACGAGGAGTGAATGCTCAGTTTACAAATGTGAACAAATCACCATCTTCCCTCTACCAAGTAACCTCCTATTTATAGATGTGATGGCCTAGTCCATGATATCTTTCTGACTAATAACTATTCTAGTTCCCTTTATTCTATATCCTAACAGATTACAAAGACTCTCAAAAGGGCAATATCTTGTGCATCATTATAGATGCTTCTTGTGTCATTCTCAAGTTTAGTGCACCACTAGGATGTGAATATTTTGAGTTCTCGTTATGGTGGAATTTCCATGCACTGCTATTTCTTCACGAGCAATTTCCATTAAACGCCTTGGAGTTGCTTGCTTTCAGTGTGTTGGATTATAGTTACAGTTACGGAGGATATTCTTAATATAATCAGTTACAAGCTCATAATTAATGTACATGCATTTGGTTGCCGTCATTCTCATGTATCTCTTGTAGAATGTTTAAATTCAAAGTGATTATTAACGCCATCTACTGTTTTGTTTTTGTCATCAGATGGCCACAAGCCAGGATTGCAATCTGTGCCAACACATGACCCTCAAGTTCAGGATGCAGCAAATCATGCAATCAAGACAATCCAGCAAAGGTCTAATTCATTAGTACCCTATGAACTTCATGAGGTTGCAGATGCTAAGGCTGAGGTCAGTGCCTTATTTTTGTTCGTTGTAGTTTTCTTGATCCAGTTTGTCTACTCAACTGGTTTTGGAATGTCAAATGGTTGAATTGGATTGCATTGTTGGTTGTAATTTGATGTTTAAATTTGTAGTTATAGAAAAGTTATTCGCAGAAAATTAATTCTTTCTAGGAAAATTTCATCGATGGTCTTGAGTTTTGGGCAGATTTGTGATATTTTTATTTTTGGTCTGATTTTTTGTTTGTTGACTTTGTTCATCTTGAGTAGGTCCTTATTGCTTGTATTCTTGGACTTTATTATCTTACCTGCATGCTTAATTGTTTACCAGAAACCTTTTTGTGAAATATTTGTCATATAGCATCTATAGGATTATGCTATAATCTTCTTATAATGTACATTGGAAGCTGCTTTTATGTCTTGCTCATAAGTTTCTGGGACCAGTGAAGTACTGATTAGTAAATAGTTGAGTGTGAATTTTGTTGTATTTTATGGTTGATGTTTTTTAAATGATTATATACTGAAACCAAAGATGTATCACTAAAACCTTAGATAAGAAAATCTTCATTTGGGAATATAGCTTACAAGCTTATTTTTATAACTATTGTGGTGTATCCTGAGGGTAGAGTTATCGGTGTCCCATGGCTGACGGATGTATAAATTCCTATGCAGGTCATTGATGATTTTGCCAAGTTTAATCTGCTTCTCAAGGTCAAGCGGGGAGAGAAGGAAGAGAAGTTCAAGGTAGAGGTACACAAGAATAACCAAGGTGGCTTCCATCTAAATCAAATGGAACAAGATCATTCCTAATTCTGATCTGAAGCAATATAGGCCTGGGTGACTTTTAAACTATACTCTCTTTTTCAATATGGGGTGTATGAGTCATTACGACTCATTATCTATATGTTTCACAGAATTTATACTTCTCGGGTATTGCTCTTATTTCTGTCTCAACAAGTATACTGGTTCTTACCCGTCTCTCTGGGTCTTGGCAAATAAAACGTGTAGCTACCATGAAGTATTACATATTAGTAACTCTTTTTAACGTATGTATTGCATTAGTAACCTAAAAAACTGTGGATGTTGACCATTTGTTTTTAATATGTTTTCATCAAATTTTAACATTTAATATGAATAATACTTTAATTTGAACCCAAATGATTTATGTATATTGTTACGTTAATAACTACAGTTTTTGATTTTTGTTTTCAATAGTGAGGAAAACTTATGTCGAAACCAGACTATAATAGCTAATAAGGAGAAACCAAAGCTAAAAGAATATTGGACTTAAGGCTTCCCAAATAGTTTTTGATATTGATTGGATTAGCTTTTTTTTTTTTTTTTTTTTTTTTTTTTTTTTTTTTTTTTTTTTT